CTTTGGAAGGTTAGATCGATATTGGTCGCAAATATGCCGCAGAATGAATCTAGTGCTAGAAAGGCTTTCGCAGGTCGATGACTGGCCGAGAATTTCTTGAGCGTCTTCTCAAAGTGATGTCACAAGTCTACTCTACCCAGATCCCCATTTACGGGGTAGTGGTCCATTGGGATGTCAACTTCAACAGGGCATAAAAAAATGAGGATTGTTTCAAAGAAATACTCACCAAAGCAGGAAGATTTTTTAAAGTGAAAAAAAAATTTAGAGGTCAGGTGCACTTTAAAGCACTGTAATACTGTAAATCACTTCTATTGTTATCGTACTGATGAACACAAGAAGCCTTGGGAACAGTAAAAGTTCATTGGCTGATTGTTTAAATTCGATTAATTAATACAATTGTCTTATGTAACCTTTGGCGATTGGATCTATTAATTGATTAATACAGCGGATGAAACAAGTATACTTATCTGACAAAAAAACACTGTGGAAGTCACTGCCACATACCTTAAATTTTAATCAGTCAAAAAACTTGCAGTCTATAAAATGCCTTGATATATTGTTCCGGGGCAAGAAAAACCTCAGAGGTTTGTTGTTAGATGTAAACAGAGTCATCACGTTCAAAAGCAAATTTTTATTGAGCAACCCCACATTTCCTCTAGCGATTTTATTATTTCCAAATTGTTGTGGATGGCATCAACTTGTTCCAAAGTCTTAATCTCCAGAACTCTCCATGTCAACAAATAATGAAAAGCACCTGACAATGATTTTACTAAAACAGCAACACCTTCAATTTGAACCAATTCAATTCAATTCAATCCGCTGAACTGCAAATCCAGCCAGAATATAGGCTCCGTGGTAGCCTATTGTTCAGTAACAGATAGTTGCCTCAAAATATTCTTCCATATAATTTTGCAGTGGATAGCTCTATTTTATCTCCAACAACCTCTGGACAAAGATGTTTTCCGGTCTCCATTCTTCGAACAAGTGAAAATGGACTGAACAAAGAAAAAAGTATTGTTTATCAAAGCATAACAATGAGGGCTTCTTAATTGGTTCTTGCCTATCTGGACTTTGCCCTGTGTGTGCAAAATAATAAGTGGTAAAATGCAAGTTGTTTACAGGGAGTTGACATGCAATGGGGGTAAAGTCCAAAGTAGCTAAAAGTAAATTTTATTGGTAGAAAATGTTTAAGCACGTGAGAGTTGTGTGGAAAATTGACTGACTGTACCATTATGTTACTTGTGAAATATTTTTTCAGTGAGGTAGAATTATGTCATAAAATTTACGCTGTTTACCGTAATTTCTGGCCGTTTACCCACGCATAATCTGTTGATTTTGCCTTAAACACGTGCCACTGCGGGTAATAGGGAGGTGCGGGTTATGTGACAATTTTGAAATCTACTGGCAGTTGAATTGAAAAAAATTCTCACCTACCTGTGTTTACACCTCTCAGATGAATTTTATTGTATCAAAAGTGCCACAAAGCCGCACGAAAACATGATGCTGACTTGAGTTTATTTCACACACAATTAGTTAAGCGATGAAAAAATTACTATCGGCACGCGCGTAAACAAAACGTTGAGGGTGACAAAAATAAACCAAGGATAACCAGTGCATCAGTAAGAAATTTCCAGTTAACACTAGCCTCTGCTGAAAAGAATTTTCCAGTTTTAAGGGACTTTGTTAGCCCCAGTAGAACCGGAGATATCGATTTTTTGAGAAATCAACAAATCAACATGGCACTGAACGATCGTTTGCACAAAATGTGG